GGGACAGGGGGGAGGGCATTTGCATAGGGGGCTGGCTTGCAAGTAGCAGCCTACAGTGGCAAAAAGTTTGTCAGCCCCTGTTTTAAACCGCTCTAAGAGTGCCATATCCATTTCATAATAGACATAAAAATCTTGATGTTCCCATCAGTTACCTATTAACATGTGTTTAGATGTGTTCTTCAATGCTAGAATTAAGTAGAACCTGTAAGTACCTGAGAATTATATGGAAATTCAAAAAGGGGCAAGAGATGAAAAAAGAAATTGGAAAAAACCTAGATATTCTGGGGGAAAGTATCCCCTCAAAGTTTTTCATGCCCCTGGTTTTAAGTGATCAACCCAGTGGCATTTCTGCCATCTCTTTTAGGCCACAGACCTTCTGGACTTTCTTCTATACTTAATGTTCAACTTAACTTGCCCTTTGCTTAATCCCCTCTCAGTGCTCCTAGGCCCATTCCTTCTCTTGGAAGAAATCAATTTTTCTTCCTCCCTGTTGCTTACATTCTTCATAGGATATCCTTATAACCAATGACAAAGACTCCCTCTCCAGTCAACTGGCCCATCTAATTACCCAATCCCTGCTTGTCCTAGGGGGTAAATTTCACAGGAGCAACACATTAATCACTTTTATTTTGGATGCATTTTCACAGAATCAAAAATACTGATTTTCTAGTTTTAAAAACCTGTACTTTCTAATCTGTTTTTTCCTCATTTTTTATCTAGCTTTTATCACCACTGTAGCTCTGGGTTCCTATGAACGTGATACCTCTCCAACTCGAACGTCTGGAAACAAGAATGATGTTTCTGTGTGACAAGCTGGTAGGTAGCTTGTGAGTAGAATCAGGTAGCTTTTAATTTACTGCTCCTCCACCTACATTCCCAAGATTGCCACTGGGAATATTTACCCGATCAACTTGACTGGAAGAAAACATAAACAAGCAGAAATCTGGTTCCAAAACCAGGGCATAAAATGATAATTTACAGGATCCTTTAACAAAATGGTTAGAGTTTTTAAAGGCTTGTAGTTAAGATGACAGTTTCCCTTCAGGACCAGTAAGGAATGCCAAACCCCCTGGATTAGATTTCAATTTCTATTACATTTATATGCATTTCATATAACTAAACTGAATGTAATGATTACTATAGGTTTGTATCATCAGTCAGAATATGGCCAACTGTTTGTAGAGAGAGGGAAAAAAGAATCTGAATTGGGGTTTATGAGGCAGTGCTGTAATACAAAAACTGTACTGTAAAGAACTAGACTAAAGATGAAATAAAGTATATTGTTTACATTTTCAAATTGACAATACATATGTTCAGAATGCACACTTTGTTTCCTTACCTGAATTAATAAAAAATATTATAAATAGTAAATGAAAATAATACTGTTAACTAGGAAAAACAGTTTGTCCTCATAAGGATAGATCAGGGTTGAATAGGAACATACTTTACAGATACATTCATATGCAGAGCCATCTTTCCTCATAAATACGTATGAATAGTCAAACTGGAAAAAAAAATCTATTACAGCACAAAAGTCTAAAGTAACTGGGGATGTGGATGATGTCATAAATTGCAGGAATGTGCTCTGAGTAATTTTTTTTAATTATTAAGTCTCCCTCCCTGACCAAATATTGATTTATTGCTTTAATAATGCACCTCTCTATATCCATTATGCTTCAAGATATCCATGCAACAGGTAACATATTTGTGAGATATCAATGTGCTTTTAAATTAAAATAGGTATATTTATATTTTTAGCAAACACCACAAGCAAAAATATAATAAAAAAAAATAGAATGGTACAATGAATTTAAAGCAGCTCTTTTTGTTCCCAGGGCATGGAATCATCACTTCTTTGATAATTTCTTAATTTCTTGCAATAAAGCAGGCCAAGTAAGGTGCACAACACATTCTATGTTCTGCTTGAATCCAGCTGTGAAACCATATACTAGTCACTTCACTGTGCCTCATTTTCTTTCCTTCTAAAACTGGAATAATGATACTGACATCCTATGTACAGTTCTTTAGATTTACTCATAAAGACTTCTGTATGGTATTAATTATCATTATCACCATCATCCCAATAGAAGGATGGAAACAGAATGTTTGGAGATATAGGGAAGAAACACAGAGATTTGCTACTATTGAACTCTTAGGATAGGGACAGACATTACACAGAAACCGGTTTAAGTGATCAGAAATGGGTTTAAACCTGTAACAGAACAAATGTTCATTGCACGTAAACCAGTTTGAAAATGGCTGAAACCAGTTTGAGATAAACCTGGTTGAATATAGTATCTGACTTAACTGACTTGGCTCAAACCAGTTTAAGCAATATCTGTCCCAGACTCCTTGCTGCTTTAAGATAAACCAGACACCCCCAGCATCCCAGTATGCTCTCTGGGCTGGGCTGGGCTCGGCTCTCTGCTCCCTGGCTGCAGCTCCAGAGACTCCCCTCACCATTCCCTGCTAAGCAGGAACTCCCCCTTCCCCTTGCTGAGGAGGTGTCTGGTATTAGCTAACAGACCACATGCTGGCTATGGTCTGTGCTGAATCAACAGGCAGAATCAACAAGCAGCTGGTAGTGTCCCTCTGTTGTTTTCTTAATTGGGTAATAAACACTGTTATCAATTCCCTGCTGGCTTAATCAAAGCCAGGCCACACCCCACTCAGCTCCATGCTATGGAAGGAAGGGAGGGCCGCTCTAGCACCTCTCCCCCAATCCCAGTTTATAACCTGAGGCATATGCCTGCACTTCTGGGATGCCTGCCTGGTTACAAAACTGATTTAGCCAGCCAGGTTAGACTAACCTGCAACAACTGAATCGATTCAGGCTCAGGCATTTTTGAATGCCTATCCCTAGCCTTACATACTTTTTCAAGGCATCTATGAACATACATAGAACATTATGAGCCTCAGACACCATGAATATCTGTTTTTTCCCTAGTAAAGATATTTCATAGAGAATAAATGCATGCTGTCTAGATGACAACCAGCTACTTTGAATTTTGTTTACTAGCTACTGATCTTGATCTGGTACTTTCATTTAATCCATTATGCACTGTGTGACTGACTGCTGATCCCAACCTGTGTTGTGTCTCCTGTACATAAATGAAAATATGGTGACATTTGTCTCTGACCTCCATAAAACACATATCAAAGACTTGGATGTTTAGTGAACAACAGCGGTAACTTGAACTTTGGTACTTGTTGCATTTTTTAAACTTCTGTGTAAACTACACCTAAGGTGTAAAAGTTTGACCAGCATCTACTATAATGCAGAAAACATTTGCTAGTCAGTATGGAAGGAGTGTATGGATTGAGGAACAGCCACATGAACAAAAAGAATGTATTCTGGGGAGAAGAAAGCAAAATACAAGGGCATGTTCCCCCCCCCCCTTTTTTTTTAAAGAATGGTCAATCTTGGCTGAGTTATTACCATAACACATCATTTTAGTGATAACATCAGACTCTTTTCTTCTTATGAGTCTTATTTCCCCTGAATTTCTCAGGCTGACTGACAGCTTCACTTTATGTCCTGGTTTTGAAAATGTGAGTTTGTTTTGACATCCAGTCTTGCTCTTTTTTTTCACCTCTTTTATTTAGCTTCTTTCTCCTTTCCTGTGCCTTGACAAGCTTTCAAATTGGAACACTTAGATAAAAAAATTAAAAAGCTCTAAAGCACTTACAATATCTAATCACTCTACAAAGAACATGGTATTTTAATATTACTGAAGCGTTTTAAATGTATTAGAAGAGCTTTCATTTGAAAGTGATTTGGGATTTGGTGAATATATAGTGCAGATACATTTACAGTTATTAGAGCTCTTCAGAGATTTTTTTTTATTATTATTTTGTAAGTGCATCATTTGATATGCTTGATTTCAGTGCTATGAAGGCTATTTAAAACTATTAAATCTTTTGCAATTAACATGTGTCCGAACACTCCAAACTGGATTCCCATGACTTTGTTCAAGCACTTTGTCTCTCTCTATTTAGTCCAGCAGGGAACTGCAATCAATTCAGAACTAGACTTCAAATTATACCAAGCTGCTGCTGTGCTTCATCAAATTATTGGGTTAGATTGTAGGACTGTACAAAGATCCATTTGAATTAGTGGAGCTTAGACACATTCCATCAGCTGAGAATATGGCCTTCATTTTATTGTGTGCACCCGTTGAAAATAAGAAGTATATCTTAAAAGATGCTTGGGTAAGTTTTAGCTATATTTTTTTTATAAGTTTAAGCACATCTGTTATGTAAATAAATATAACCACAAAGGGCCATAATAGAAGTTACTTGGTCCTTAATCAGTGCAATTTTACCTAGGCAAGGAAAGTAAAACTTAAAAGGAATCTGAGGGATTTACTTATAAAATGCAGTATGTTCTTTTGTCACAGGTCCCAAGGAGCTCCAGGCTAACTTTGAGAAGAGCAAGTTTTAAAAGAGTAGGATTCAAACTAGTGTTTTTTTTTAAAGTTGGCAAGTATGGCAAGGTAACAGAAAACCCTCACTGGACTTAGATCCAAGGATCTTGGAATACAGACTGCTTCACATGAAGGACAGATCTACATCATGCTTTTGGGTCGGAGGAAAAAAGGGAAGCAAAGAATCCAGTATGACCTCAGGAGCATAAGGCTTGATAAATTGGTCTTAAATTGACTAATGTCTCCAATGCACTTTGAAGTTGACAGTCACTAAGTGCTAAATATTGATTACTACTGGGATTGTACTATATTTATGTAATGATCCAAACTGATGGAGTTGTCTGATGGCCCTGATCATTTATTACACACATTTATGTAAAAATAGAAAATAACTTAATGGCATAGTTGGGAATTACTCAGAACCATACTGTGACTCCCCCTAATATTAATGTATCCAGGAACGATAATGCGAACAACAGGGGATTTCTTTTTCTTTTTAAAATCATGATTTTTTATTAGAACTAATATGTAGGAACTAAGAGACTTCAGTCCCCTTCAGAAGTCAGAATTGTATTACTTTACATTATGTTGTCCTGTGGTACCTCAATTTCAATCAGGTAGCCTGGCTGGAAACTATCTACAGGGGCTGAGAAGGCAAATGGCCTCAAAAATCTGAAGACTGGAGAAAAATATGGTGTTCATATTTTAGACTGGACCAACTTTTACTGTGCTCTATTTTTGTGCAATAAAGAAAAAAAGACTGAAAAAGGCAGTATTCATTACCTGATGGAACTATCATTTTTTAGTCCATCGTAATGTCATATGGCACACAAGCTGAACTGGTTGTGCCGTGAAAAACAGTGAAATTAATTTACTTTGCATAGATATCTAAGCCCTTGCGGGGCAGAATGCATCATGCAGTTATCAACTTTTTTAGACTCTTGGCACCCCTTGGAAAATGCCAGCCCCCAGCTTTCACTTATTTTTTTTGACTATAGAAAAGTAGCAGAGAAAATTTGCTGCTGAAAAGAACTCAGAAAGATCACAGCACGTCAAAATGTTTTTGACATCCTGAATTCCTGTTTGAAATCTGCGGGTTTATCTTGTGAATCACATGTAAGGCCGTGATTACACGGCCCCAGTAGGGTACATGTAATCAGAAACCAGTCTATAACTGCAACAGAACTGAAGTTTGGCACACCTAGACTGGTTTAAAAATGGCAGAACTAAGTCTAAGTTTTGTGCCCTGTTCTCCCCTCCCCACAACCAAATGGTGAACGTGTGTTTTGTTCACTACCAATCTAAACTACTTCGCTTACAGAAAACCATGGAACTTAGATCAATTTTGCCTTGGGTTTTTGAATGTCTGTACCTAACTTAGGTGTTTGCATGCCTAACATATTAATAGTGCTGTGGCACTGTGGTTGAGAGTCACTGATCTAGACACAGTTACAGAATTATATAGACAGGTATGTAAATAAAGCATGAACAGTAAATACATAACAGACTTGTAGTTCACGATACACTGTGGCTGCAAAGAAACAATCACACACTTCTTATAGCTGAAAGAAAGTACTCCGAATCCAATACAGTACTAGCTACCTGTTTTAGACAGTTTGCCGGTACTCCTGTTACTTGATGAACTATCTCCTCTTGTCAGAACAGTTATACCACCAAAACTTGCTGTCTTTGTTATGGCTGGCTTCAAATTGCGATTTGAGCTGTCTGAGTCTGTGCTGCTCCATGGCCTCTGGTGGTCTGTCCATTTCAATTCATTCTCTGTGCTGCTTTGCCGACTGCCAGATGCCTTCCCCATGCTATCTCTGTTACCCCTAGAGAACCATCAAACAAACAAAGATATATACAAACAAAAAAAAATGTCTGGCTAAAATCTGCTCTTGGGCAAAGCTGGGTAACACTGGTGTAAACTGACTGAAGTGAATGGAGTTATTCTGAATTTGCATGAGTCTAAGCAAGAACGAAAGTGGCTCTATAATTATATGTAGTCAGTGTGCAAATACAATACAACACTTTTGATGGATCTAGCATTTGCCACAGAATACTTAACATATGTATGCAAAAGAGAACTAACAGCACTTCAGCAGTTATGTATATGTCCATATTAATGTAAAGCTAATACCCACTTGGTTTGATTTGAATGTGTCGTATCCCTCTACAAGCCCCTTCCTGGGTTTAATCTCTATTATGTCATCCAATTTAAACTTTCTGTCTCTAATGTCAGAGCCCTATATAAACTCCACCTTTCACTTGTTATCCTCCTTTGTTGTTTGTTCCATATTGTTCCTACTCCGCTAATGTTCCTCCCACTCTTGCCCATCCCTTTGTCCACTCCTCACAATCACCAATAGGCCTTCCTCTATACAGCCTACTCTAGATAAAACTTCCCAGCATTACTGCAACCTTGTCTGCATTTCTGATCCTCTTAAAGACATGTTTGCCTTGTGTTGCCTATGGTGAATCATTGTAAATTGTTCCCTAACTGTTCAGCCTTAAATTGTAAGTATCTTGGTGTAAGGATTTCCTATTCCTAACTAGCTGCGAAGCACCCAGCACTTTGCAGGTTATAGCATTAAGTGCACTAAGAGCTGCAAGCAGAAGTCGGAGAGCAGAAATTGGCTTATTATGAATAGCTTACAAACTGCTGCCAAATGAAAAACAAAAATGCCTGTAAAGCTGTGTAAAAATCATGTTTTTCAAAGCAAAGCTGCCAACACTTGCATTTTTGAAGGTTTCAGGCCAGATTTTTATTTTTTAATGTAGCATTTGCCATTTCACAGCATTTTCCATAAATGAAAAGCACAGGATGGTGAAATCAGCTTCTGCTTTTCATTTAGAGAACATGCAGGTTGTGTCACTGTGGAGGTGAAGAAGCTGAATATCAAAGATCCAGACATCAGCTTGGCACATCCCTCGGCTGTGATCAGTCTTACATGGATGTTACCAGTAGTATTTACCTGTTAACCTTGGGAGACCCAAACAGTGGGAATGCATAGAAAAAAGAGCATAGATGCAATAAAGTAAAAAAGAGAAAAAGCTTAAAAGGAAAGTAGTCTTTACAATTTAACTAGAAAGAAAAAAGAATATGTTGGGCATTATTTACAGGTTCTTTTATATTACTCTGCTGTAAAGATCAATCTCTCTCTTCATTTTATGGTTTTATTGGCTCGGAGAAAGAAAAATAGAGTATTCTGATTATCCAAAATTGTTTCAGAGACTGATGTTATTTGTCACAAGCCTCTGAGGAATCAAAGGTTTTAGATATCCCGTCATCCTCCCACCCACAACCCAAAAACTCTAGACAGCCACTGTGACCCGCCCTGTGGGAATTTGAGTGTGATGTCTCCTCTCGTTTGTATCCCTAGCTTACTTTTTCTTTGGGACCTGCTATGTGGAATACACATGAGGCAGGTCTACATTTTGTTACTGTCCCATCATTTAGTACTTGTTTTAGGAAGATACTGTGCCATCCTGGTGGCGCACAGTTATTTTTAGCAGCTACGTCACTGTAGCAAAGTGCTATAGTAAGGTTGCTTATTGCTACGGCTGCACAGGCTCCTCAAACCCTACACCCTCAACCCTCCAACTGCCAATCTGTATATTATATATTATTTTTGGGTAGATCTCTCTCTTTCTCTCTCTCTCTCACACACACACGCACGCACACATATACACATTAACATATAGTTATGTTTTGTAGGGTATCAGTTATGCTTTTAAAAGTGCTTTGTACTTTCTTGTCCTCTGCCTGTGACAAGCCGTAGCGTCTTACTTTTTATAATGTTCAGTACGGACACTTCTAACTGAATAAAACTGGAGCTGTAGGTACTCATGACCTCTGAAAATCAGACTCCTCCTAAGCGTCTCAAATTAAATTCTGTAGCAAGCTCGTAGGTTCTTCTATTGATCTAGGGTCTCTGAAAATCTGGGTCACTGTGGGATGTGAAGCCTGTTAACCTGATGACTCCTCAATGTGATGGAGCGGTTTTCTGGGCACAGGGACTAGGATCAGGACTAAAAAGGTCACCAAGGAGAAAGCTTTATGAATAATACAACTTTTGGGAAAACGCTTTATGCTGTGCTCTTTTTATTTCATCTGCCAGTAAAATAACCACAGAAAACTGTTTGACTTTGGGCACTACCTCATGGTATATGAGCACTCTGTACAAAAGCAGGCTGGACTCAGCACACTCTCAGCATTGCAGCACTCAAAATGGCTGTGGCTTTTGGATCAAGTTTTGGCAGGCACTCTGGATGAAATGAGGACTAGGTTTCCTGACTACAAGTCTTGTGCCCTAATCACAGGAACCCTCAATCCCCTCCATGTACATGTCTCTACACCCACAAGCCTACACCCATTAAAATGCCAATCTTCATCTAGCACAGATGAAGGCATAGATAAACTTAAAGTGAAAGTTACTTGTAAACACATATTAAATAAAATAAGCCATACAAACCTAAATAGCTGTCTTTTCTTATGGGTGTCACTGCATATACTATTGTCTTCCAAGAGCCTACTGAAAATGAAAAAAAAAAGATTATGGAAACAAAACCAGGAGTTTTTAATGATATATTTAACTTCTTGTCTTCTCCATTAAGTCTCACATTGCTTATTATAAACAACTTCTATTTTCCTATACCCAGATTGAAAGAAAAGGGCCTAAATTCACCCTTACCATGACTTCAGTGGACCTACACCAGGGATGATTTTGGCCCAAGACTGTCTTTCTGTAATGCTGATTTGTAGCAGAAAATACCTCTCAATGAGACCTTAATCTCATTTAACACCTCCTGTTAATAAGCACTTTACCTCTCAGAAACAGAAAAAAAAAAATCAGTATTTTATTTCCAAAATAAGATGAAGCCAAATATTACTCAATAAGAACATGAAACCCCATGTCAGCAAAATATTATTGTCATGATTTTGTAGAAACTCAGTTAATACTAAGAGCCAGCTTTCCAAGCAGGCAGGCCTCTCCCTGTCTTCCACTTCAGTATGCATCCCCATACTTTAAAACCCTGCTGTATGTACTTGAAAAATATGAATGCACATGCATGTATCAGAGTTTCCCAAATTCATCTACACATGTGTGTACAATTTAATGCATGTACACAAGAGAAGACTTAGGCATGAAGGTCAGTCTAGTTTGTATAGGTTCTTATGTTGGGTTCATCACTGTTGCATGTTTTCCAGCAGTACATTAAACAGTGCAAAAACTATTGTTCTTTGCCGTTTGTTCTTTCACCCTCCCCTCCAGGGCAGAAGTGTGTATAGTAGAGTGTCTTGTCTTGTTTGTTGGTTGGTTTCTTTATTCTTGTTGTGTTAGCTTTTTATAGATGTATATGTTGTATAGGGTGGTTTTGGATAGGGATGTTCCTGCCTCAGCCAGGAAGTTAGATGAGAAGGACTATGGAGTTTCCTTCCAGGCCTGCTTCCCTATGATCCTATGTATTTATGTCATGGAAAACAAGGTCAAAGAAATACATCTTGTACCTGGAGGGGAAGGTAGGGAAGTTTATGACGGGTTTTAGTTCCTGGGGGAGTTCATTTCCCAGTCTTAGACTTTCCCCCAAGAAAGTTCTGTCTTTTGCTTTACCCGTATTGTGGGGAATTGCAGTGTAGGAAAGTATGTACACAAAATGTATTTGATAGAAATGAGGATGGATAGATGTAGTAATACTTTAAGATATGGTCCTTTCCAACCCTATGATTTTATAAGCGGTTGGTTCCCTGACTCCACTTCTGGATATTTACAGATCTAGATCTTTGATTAGATAGAAAGTGATTTCACTTTACTATCCATAACAGCAAACATGTCTGTAGGAAACCATCATACAGTGTTGCAAAAAGGGAATCAGCTCAGATAATAATAGCAACAATTATCATTTGGTAATTATTATAATATAGCAATGATAATGGGCCTGATTTTCAGAAATGCTGAGCACCCACAAGTACATGTGAAATCAATGTGGGTGTTCAGTACCCCTGTAAATCAGGTCCAAAGCAAAAACAGAAACATTCCACACTTCTAAAAATATTTTTCATCCAATAACTTCAAAGTGCTTTAGGAAATTTAATTAATTACATCCTCACAGCACACCAAAGAGATCTATCTTTGATAAAACATTAAAATGTTGATGTATCAGTCTGTTAGCAATCAGTAGTTTAATCTACAAACATTCAATTCTGGATAATGACACAAACACCTTATATGCTTTTGTATATTACTGTATGCTTCAAGATCCTCTAAGTCCTCACACTGTGCTCATCATGGTGCAAATTTCCTTAAAGAAAAGATCCTCAAAAAAGCTGGATCAAAAATTAACATGAGAGGCTTTTTACAAGGGTAAAATAAACTATGAATATGAAAAATGATGCAGATGAGTAACAGCTAAGTTGTTTAAAAGATTTTTTTTTTACCTGTTTTCCACAAAAAGGTTTTCCTGGGAGCAAACTGACTGAAAAATAAAAAAGGCATTGTATCAGACGCTCTAAATATGTTCTATTGTTCCAGTTTTTTGCTTGATTTTAGATTTATATCCCCTGTTCAGGCTCAAAGGGATTTTAATTCATGCATCATTTGCATTTGTAGAAGACAAGAGGAAAAAAGTCAAGAATAAGGTCACACCAGTAAAATAATTCCATGCATTACAATGTATTGCCAGTGAGGCGTCTACGTTTTGAAACAAACTCAGACTTAGTCTTAGGCTCAGAAGAGATCAGTTATATATAAACTACTGACATTTTCGAGGAAGGCATCATTTATATGTAGCGGAAGGTTTTACTAGTTTGCCTTACCAGCTAAAACAAGGCGGCACCATAACACATAGCTGCAGGGGAAGAACAAACGGGAGGAAAGCATGCAAAACTGGTAAAATTCTAAAAGGAGTGGAGATGTTATAATACTTAGAAAATATTACATGATTTCATTTCACAAACAGAGAAGAAACAAAAGTACCCATGCTGAGAAATATTTTTTAAAAACATTTTAAAATGTTTTCTGTTGGAAAATTTAGCCTACAAAGAAGGTGAGAGGGTAAGAAGAAATAAATTCTATTAACAACTATACTCATTTTTTTAACATTTCTTAATTTTTTTACGTGGAGAAATGAAGCTGTGCTCAAATTTCCCACAAATAATTCTCTCTGCTTTTGATTTTTTTTCATTTCCTATTTCATGTTCACTACACAAAGCACATAGCAGTTGTCATTGGAACGTATCTCCATGAAGTACTGAAGAAAAGACAGTAATTTTACTGAATTTAAACAAAAGAAAGAGAGGGGGTGGAAATCAGGCCCATTACTTATATAACAATGGGGACTTGGTTCACAGAATAACTGAAGGCCACCATCAAGCACATCAAATTCTAATGCTACAGGAAATGCATTTGGTTAGGATGTACCTGTATTCAACAGGATGAAGTGAGGACCTGAAAGAGCACTAGCTAAAAACAATACAATACATTTGTTTTCATTCCTAATGTTTAAAATATATAAGGCCAAAATTCTCCACTGGTATAAACTGGTGTAGCTCCATTGAAGTCAATGGTATTGTACCCATTCCTACCAGCAAAGAATTTAGCCCACATTGTGTAATAATTCTTCATGTAGAAGCTATCATTCTTCAGGTTAGAGTAGTTGTCTGAGTATATTGGGTGTGTGCAAGTCAGTAGCAAATGTATCATTTTGAAGAGCAGATTAGCAGGCACTTGACTAGAATGGCTTAGTTGCAGATGATCTTGCCTTGAGCTACTGGGCTAGATTAGACCTCATGAAGTCCTTTCCAGCCCTACTTTCCTATGATCCTATAAAATTCTTACCAACTGTGCAGCTTCAGTGGTGTGAGTTTCTCATACAGGATCCGATTTAGGATGGCAGGATGACTGAAGGCAGGGAGGAGATTGGTGGAAAGCTCTTTTCTCCTTAAGAGAAAACCTCAAAATACATAAGTGACATCCTGGCCCCACTGAATCAATGACAAAAGTTCTCACTAAAAAGAGAAGGGCCAGGTTTTCAGGGCAGGCTGACTGTTGAGCAGAATCGCAAACCTTTTCATTAATGATTGCTGTGTTTCTTGATATAAATTACTGCACTCCATCTTCTCCCATTCTAAGCAGTTCATTCCCTAATTTTAATTAGTAAATCTGTCAAAGTTTGCCAGAAAGTATATTTTATTTTCTTGCTAATGAAGATAAAAGCAAGAGGTCTCTTATTCAAATGCTGAACAAAACAGTTTTCTGCCTTGACAGGCAGGCTGGGTCAAAGTTTTCAAAGCCATGTCTACTTTGCAATCAAGAGGAATGACTGGGCTAATGTACCTGTGCCAGCTTTATTCTAGCTACCTGGGTAACAATAACAGTGAATGCAGAAGCAAGGAATTTCGTATAGACTGGGAGCCTTTGCAAATATCCAGGGGCAACTTTCACTGATGCCCAGCCTGCTGCATCTTCATTTCTATTATAAGATAGGCTAACTAGATCCAAGGTAGGGCAGGTATTTCTCCCTGTGAGGCAATCAGTCCTCACACTGAAGTGTAGACATGTGCAACAAGGCCAAAATCTGGCCAGGTTCTGTGTATGACTGTCTCTGTAGGTTTTGTCCTACTGATCAGATCATTTGTGCACCCAGGTGAGATCATGAGCAAAGCTGAGCATGCCAACTGAGGCCGTGTTTGAAACAAACCACCGATTTTGAAAACTGCTTTTTGTTTCCAAGGCAGGCATGAGGAGAAATAAGCACCAAGGATTCACATGTTATTAGACACTGAGAGATGTCTGTTACCTCTTCAGTATCTTGAAGGGTATCAGTTTAATCTGCATTGCAGCCTTATGGACAGATTCAAAAACAACTCAGTTCATCTTCCATGCTGCAGAAGCTGGCACAAGGCCATTCAATGCCTGGAATATCCATTTTTCAAGACTGAAGTACAGAAGACATCTGTACTTCATGGTACAGAAGGCAGATACATTTTCATTATATTATCATTATTAAAAATAAGATGGCAAAAGAAGCTTTGGGTAGTAAGTTAGCTACTCCAAGGTCAAGATTCACTTTCCTATCTTGTAATATCAGTGCTTCACAATTTGAAGTACTGGGACAGCTTAAAACACAGCTGTTGTCAAGACTACTTTTAAATCACTTGGCCCTCAGCTGCAGATCTAAGGGAATGCAAAACAAATTTAGAAAAGGAAAAAAATATATACCGAATTATTTATGAATTTGCTTCCTAGCTGAGCTATGCTGCAGGTCCTAAGCACATAGCTCTTCCGTTGAGGTTCTACATATGGTCAGTTTTCCTTCCTTCTACAACCAATTTACAAGTGCCTTTTCAGCAGTTCAACAGTATTTTTTTCCACTGGGACATAAGCACCACTGCTGCCTGTGCACTTGTCAGTATTGTCTTCACTAAAAACAATAAATAAATAAGATGTTTTACCATGTGTTAGCTAACACAGGGTAAGTACTAATATTATCCAGTGGCTAGCAGGTAAAAGACAAGGCTCCCCAATACCACATACTTCAACCAGCCAGAAAATGCAAAAGACATAGACAGATTGCTTAAACTGGGATTTTATCATATGTTAGCTAACAATTGGTAAAAAAAAAAAAAACAAATAAAAAACCCCTCACATTTTTCCTAGTCTGGACTAGGAAGGAGGATAACCCAGGAGGATAACAGAATCTGGCACCACCTTCCCAGAACCTCTTTTTTATGACTGTTTTAAATCAGAGAGCAAGACTAAATCCCATTGCTACAAGACAGGGACAGATCCTTAGTGTTTCCTGAAACGGAAATGGTATACTGACTGCGGACAAGGCTCATAATTAATCTATCATTTTCCCCAAATATCCAAAAATTATATAGAATTTTTTTTTTAAAAAGGCTAAATTCCTTTGTAACCTAGCACATTTTTTTTAGAGATTTTCAAGTAGCATTAGTGCATTTATGTATTACTAACATCAGCATAAGTAAAGAAAAACATTTACATTTTTCAAATGAATATACAATAATGAAGAGAGAATACATTTATGAATAACTAATGATTCTTCTTTGACTCTATCTCATGAGGTTATGCATTACATTAACCTCAAAGAATGAAACTTCCCTTAAGTAATTGGACTGCTCTTTTTTCACAATCAATATTTTGCATGCTTAAAAGTCAAATATGCATCATTTACCCATAAAATTAGGATTCTCAATTCTCTACAATTTGCGTTTTTCACTGTAAACAGCATTAATGTACAGGCAAAACACAACAGATGAATTTTAGATTTTAACAACCTGGCCAATTAAATTCAACATGCTAAAAGCAATTAAGCTATAATTTGGATTCACAGCCTCATGTATTGTGCACTTCTGCTTCAGTGAATTTACTGCAGAAGCCACTCATTGCTGTAGAATTGTGCTCTTGGATCTACATTTTCATTTAGAAATACTTAGTCCTCATGGTCTGAAAATAACCTTGAAGATGTGAAGTCATGCAGTGTTGTTTTACAGTTGACAGCATGAAAGGTTTGTAAGAGTGTGAGTTATCTCAAGGAGTTGTTGACTCCAAGAACTAATAACGGTAATTAAAAATGTCAGCATTAACTATTTCCTTGCTGATTATTTTGTAAGAAACATTTATATAAATGTGCTTCTTTCACAATCTTAAACTGCTTTCTAAGCATCCTTATCTGGCAATTGTCAAAGTCTACAAGTAGGTTGCCTGTACCTCCAGCTTTCCCTAAAACTGATGATGCACTTGGGCATGGACAATATAAAAAAAGAGCAGTTAACTGAAAATGCACAGAAAAGCAAAAAATAAGGTGTCATTAATATCAGAATAAATATTACAAAAAATATTCTAAGGATGTGAAATTCATTTTCATAATTAAATCGTTTAGAAGCCTCCACTTCAAATTTAAAATGAAGCTACTAATGCTTTTTGGTCAGGTACATTTGAGTGGTACAAAAAGTGGACACTGCATGCAGATTTTTGGTCCAGCCTATACAATGGGGCCCTACTCATTCTAGATATTTCAACAGCAAATAATGCATTTGAAACCCATGTGAAAATTTATCCTTGGGTAATTAAATTGATTTTCCTTCCTGAGCTGTTTAAAACAGTTGCTCTTGTGGTGAAACTTTCTCTAAACAGACACAAATATCTAGTGTGATATTATAGCAACCATTTCAGGACATCACGTTCAGCCTTTGGGCCGGACATTAGACATCTCTTAGATATGAGAAGGCAAGCCTTCTTGTAGATTATAGAGGTGATTTTTTTCTAACATATTTTCTAAGGTTCATAATCCAGGTACTGACACAAATGTAAGCTACACTGTGAGAAAGAAACAGACATAATAAAAATGAATGACAGATGTGTTATTTAGCCTTTCTGTGCCCCACTTTCTATATCTGCAATCTGTGGTATGATAAAGCACATGTACCTACCTCACAGATGGGTTGTGAAAACTGAAAAGTTTACATTTGTAGAGGGCTTTTAAAAATAAGAGTGCTACATGCTGTAAGTGGTTATATGGTAGGCATTCAAATGTGGTAATTCCTAAAATAAAAAATCAAAATTGCATTACATTGCCCACCACCTCATATAAACATTTATACCATGCCAGAGAGACTCTCTTCTGTGAGGCATGCTCCACTCTGCAAATCAACTAAGAATTGTTTTGTGCTATTATTATTCACATTATCAGTGTAGTTTGCTGAAACACAGTAGCATGATTTACTGATGGCCTACTAATACCTGCAATAGCAGAGAGAGAAATCAAATGAGGGATATGAGAGAGAGAGGGAGAGATATCTGCATTGCTAATCTTTTAAAAAGGTTCACTCCCAATCCATTTAAACAACTCCTACCATGCATCACATTTTTACTCAGAATAAAACAGGCCTTGCTACTCTTACCATGCTAACCTAATGGATCACATCAGCCTTCTAATAATGTCAATTAAAATACTCACCACTTGCTTTTCTCTTTAAAACTGAGGTAAAAGTATCTAAATATATAACAAATACAGCAGCCAAATGCTTAGTAACTCAGAATATCACCACACTTTTCAGGATAACTTTGGACCATTTTTTTTTTTTTTTTCTTCTAGCTGTTCATGTGATGTACAAGCTGTATTGTTTTGGCAACAGCTTTTTTGCATGTTTTACCATGTTGCCTTGTTTAATCTGTCCTCAAACCCCTATGATTTTCCTTTTTGAAAATGTGCTCCTTTGTATGAAGTCAGAAACAGAACCTCCCACACAACAGACAACCAAGGATGTAGCAGTGTAAGAAAAGGCTCTGGCAGCTCGTGGACCAATCAAGAGCTCTGATATATATCTATATATAGATATATATATATCCACTACATTTATGTCAGGCTGCCATAATGAAGGGCTAATGTGAAATGAAGGACCAGCTAACAGATTTTATCTGTCACAGGAACAGAGAAAACTGAGCTAAATGTCTGTGCATTCTTCCCTACTCCCCCCCCCCCCAAAATGCAATTTACACACAGTGATCTACATACTAACAAGCAAAGTTACTTAAGATAAATGAAATCACAAGTGAAACAATACACACCTTGCATGGTCTGCTTAGAGAAAAAACAATTAGAAGAAAGGGCTGAGCTTGAAAATAGACACAATCTAAAAGTAACTCTCTGATTTCTGTGGCATGTGAAGAGCTTTTATTTAAAAGGACACTGTCAAATGTAATACCATATTTTTTTCCTTATTTGCTTAGGAGTATAGTTCATACTGCTAGTTCAGGACATGATCCTGTCCTCCCTGATCTGACAAAATTTTCTCTGAAGTGCAACATGAAATAGTGACAGCTCTTATAACATTCTATCCATACAACACCCTGTGTAGAGTTGATCCACATATGGAGCTTATCCATCTACCCAATGGAATATATGGTGTGGTACATGACACCGGAAATGAAGGGATGAGATAGTGAATTCAGAAGGCAAGGCAACTGGCTACAGTTGAGATCCAATTAATTTTTGTCTACCATTTTTAGGGAGAATGAGGTTGAACCCATAAAGGTTTGACATTTAAATAGGTTTACCTAGCAGTTTTGCACTATTCTATTTAACAATCTTTGTCCTTTTTTTTTGTTTTACTCCTATTGTCAGTGATGTCATTACTTCTGACAGCAGAAATAAGATTCCTTATTTAACCCGCATTTCCTTTATTAATTTGTTGATCATTTCAGCAAAATGTCATGAATAATCAGTGACTTTTGTTTAGTTTTATAGTCTTCCTTCCAGAACTGGGGGGAGGGTGTGTAGGGAGGAATTAGACAGACTCAAGAGAAGTTGCTTGACAGATCTAAGTGAACTGAAGGTTTGAATTAGTTGAAAGTGTCCATTTAAATCACTGCTCTTTTGCAAGCAAGGGTTATAATACCAAATACATCAGACCACACAAAACACAGACATTTACAGAAATGGAATAAGGACTTCCAGACCAACATGGCTGCCCTAATCTTCCTTCCACCTTCCTCCTCTGGAGCTATCAGTCATCTTTGCCAGAAGCCAACCTAGGTACCTCTTGGACTCATTTTACACCCTTTGCTTCAATCATCTTTCCCTACCATCTCTAGCTGCACAGTGCAATCCTGCTGCAGTGTTAGGGCCATAGGTGGAGGATACTGTCTGACTACTGAGAAAAATACAGCACTAAAGAGGCAATTAAAACAACTACTCACATCTTGTGCAAATATTCTCTCCCTCACTCTCTGATACTCCTCTTCTCTCTCTTCAATTGATTTACTTCGTCTGTCATCTCTAAATGGATGAATTCTGTTTTGCTGAGCAGAAAAAAAAACCAGGAGGGTTATATAAGTTGATCTGTTAAAAACTGCAGTTAAGTAACTGTCAGCTGAGGATATTAAATGGTCACTTAAATTAATGAGCTTTCATTCCTGAGGTGGTGTGCAAATCAACCAGGCTATGTGGGGTATACCCTAAGTGCCCTCCTAGGCCAACTAACTGAAATGAGGCTTTGTGCATGACCTTTGCAAATCCACAATCCTGAGTCAAAGCCTCCTCCATCCCACGCCCAACAGCTTTTGCAGGTTGATTTCTCATCTCCCCTACAGATTCTGCATAGGGCGAATGGCACAAAATACCTAGCTACAAGGAAGGGAACTGGGAAACTGAGTGGTAGGAACTGATGACTGAACACTAAGAAACCTGTAAGTTTATATTCATGATGAGTACAACAATAAATTCCACTTTCCAGAATATTTTGCACAAGAGTTAATCCTTTCAGTACAAAGCCTAGCCCTTAACATAACTTAATGGGAAAAGTAGCTATTTTAAGCTTTTAAATGATCTATAGCTTGGAAAACAACAGTACATGAACAGTACATGAACATATGGGGGGAAAAAAGACACTCAGCATGAAACACCTTGTTTACAATTAGCTTTTAACTACAATGCTACACCTTCTCCCTCACTGTGTTTTGTGAATAAGATCACGCTGCTTGCCTTTCATCCATTCCCACATCTATTACTCACTAAACCTTTTTTTTCCAAGGCCAATTGAGGTGCAGCATAGCTGGGAAAGCTGCCACATACAGTTGAAGGAAAAAGAAACAAGAAAAATAGTCCCTTATTAAAACCATGAAGCAGAGGCACTCAGTGGCTCTGAGTGACTCACTGGAAGCTACCGCCATAACGATAACCTGGAATGAGAAAGCACATGCTGTCTTACCTGGAGGAACTTTTTCATAAAAACAGTTCCAGTGTCAAAACCCATTTTGATATATATTTTTTTTTTAATGACTAAATGTATTTCAGGTATATGTTTAACATTGGATTTAGATGATCTTATGAGCACAACGCTTGCTGGTAACAGGTTTTTAAAAACACTTGGTAACAGTAGAATGAAGAACACACACAGCTGCCTGACATTTCCTATACATCATGTATCCAACTTGTTTGGGATAATGTAGTGTTATGTGACAAGCAACACACAGAAGGGAAGTTCTGCCACAGTACATGCATAACAAGCACATACGTTACACCGACAATAAAACATGGTAGGGGCAAGAGAAGGGAGGGAACTTAAAGATGAAACCGATTTGTTTTTGGTCAAAACTTATTTTAGGATGGTTTAAAAATCAACCTGGCCTCACCATAACATGTTTGTTTGGGGCTTTTTTCTCCTTTATGGCTACATCAGTTTATCATCGGTCCATACTGATATCCAACTCTGTATGTGTACAATTGAAGGACAAAGCTGTAGGGAGTGGAACAACTGCCATAGTTACATAGACATTTAGAAATGCGACTGACAAAGCCTTCCAACGGCTTGGAGCCTTTGACATTCCAACCCCCTTCCAACATGCAGCAAGTCCTGCGCCAAGCAAACCACCCATGCAAACCCACACACTGCCACTGCTAAAGCAACCACAGTAGGGCTTGAGGCGGTCCACTGTATGCCAAAGAGGGGGCAGAGGGAGAGGTATGGCAACAAGATAAAGGAAGGGGAAGCAACAACAAAAGAACAACAATAACATCAGTCAGCCCACCTTCAAAACAGAACAAATTTCAGCAACTCTCGAACCGAGAACCAACCTGATTGTCTTCTTTATCAATACTAGAGTTATCTCGCTTCAAGATAAATCGCTTCTGGGATTCTTCACCTTTTTCATCTTTTAAATGTTCAGAAAACCTTTGCTCTGGTCTGCCAGCAAAGTAAAACATAGCAATAAAAAAATCTTTTTTTTTTTGTTTTGCTTATTAAATTTTCAGCGCTTTTCGCTTTTCACAGGGGTATTTAGTGCAAAATTAGCTTACATTTGTTGTTCTTGTGAGACTGACTATATCTGTCTGATACTGTTCTATGGCTGCTACCTGTTATTGCTATAAATATCTTTTGTTGTTGGTATGTAGTAAGGAACATGAATTCACTGTCACTGAGATGGATATTCAGGCTCTCATCACTGTGACTGAAGGGCAAGAAAACAAGTTAACATACATTATGTTAATTTGCTCCTTCAGTTGTTGCTACACTGCCATTTAATAGAGCTTATCCACATTTATAAACAAGGAAAAGCGATAGAAACCTTTTTATAGAACTTCTCACTCCTAATAAATCAAATTGGTAACTGGGGGGGACTGATGGTATTTTGTTTAAACAAATAATTATCTAGTGGCTGATAGGCAAGGGAAATATTTCAGAATAGTCACACAGTATTGATCAGCCAATTGATTTAAAACCCATCCATACATTTTAGAAAAACAGTCAAATGCTACTGGCTAATAGCTTAACATTTCTAGGTTTAGTGGCCGGTAGGAGCTGCTCTGTGTTCTTCTTTGACCTTGCAGAAAAAGGAAATGCTAAGAGGTGTCTCATGTCATCAAGCAAGCAACTGTCAGCATTTGGGGCATAATGTAACATTTATATCTTTATAACATGCTGCAACTTGTGTCTGCTCCTTGCACCCTGCTTTTATGTTGCCTTCCCAGGCTTCATTCAGCAGCAAACTAGTACAAAAAAAAAGTAAAATAGCAATGCATTTTGTCACGTAAAAAGAACTTGCTAACTGATTGCATTTTAAATGTAGGAATACAAGTCTTGAACCATAGCTAAATAAAGGATCCCATCTATCACATAGTGCACCTGAGTTACTTCTGACAGTGTCTATAGGATCTATATGAGTTTGTCAAGAGAAGACTTAAAAATAGTACAACAATGCATTCAAACTGTGCACAAAACTCCCGCTGATATTAATACAAGTAGCATCAGCACACTGAAGACAGAGGCTAAACATCTTTCCAAAGTTTTGAAAATCAGGTCTATACAGCTTTTAAAATAATACAAAATAAATACTGACAAAATTTAAATTCACATTGAAATATTACATCCAGCTGAGCAAATCAGTTACCAATTTGCTTTTACAGTTTGAATTAGTAGTTAACTGACTGATTATGCATTTCATGGTAAAATATAGGGCATATCCATGCTATATAACTGCAGTCTGTTTCACTTAATTGCTAGATATATGGGAAAAACTCGTAATGAACTACGGATGAGTGCAAAACCCAAAGTTAGCAAATTTTCTGCCCTCCCCCTGCCCCGCCCCTCCCCTCCCCACTTCCATGGCGGATTTCAATTTCTTTTATTTTGTGCAAAAAATTGGTAAAGTGCATACTGGTACAGACACCAATAACTTGGTTTCCACAGATTGTGAACATACAATAATGCTGGGTACTTTAATAGGACCTATGGGTGATTAGCCACATCTGAATGTTAGGCCCATAAATGCAAAACATTGGAGACTAGCTTTATGCCCTGCTGTTGGTCTTTTCTGAAGAAAAGAAAAGCCCAATGGTCTGTGCTCATTTGTATGGTTTTCTAATGTAATGGATCATAAAATGCAGTTGTTGCTTGTAAATGGAAAGACAATGAAATAATGACATTACACAGTTTATTCTGCCTCCATTGTCATTAATAGGTCTTATAAGCTTAAATTGTCAAGGGAAGAAAAGATTTTATAATTCTTTATAATTAAAGTGAGTAAGTGAAGATCAGAGGTTAAATAAAACCATGAAAACACTTTCCATGACAGGCCATAATTAAAGGACAAACAAATGACTACTACATTTAGGGCATGTCTACACATGCCCCTGACTGTACAGTTGGTACTGTGGAGTCCCAGCAGCACATGGGTCATTTTCAACCCTACCGCACAGTAGCAGCGGCATCATGGTTAGTGTCCCGTGTAGACACACACTCAGAGTAGGTCAGTGTTGGAGTGATAAACTGTTTAGATGTGGGAGATGCAGTTGATGTCATATACTTGGATATTAAAAAGGCCTTCAGTATGGTCTCCTGTGATGCTCTTATAAAAAAAAATGGGGGATTGTGGGCTGGCAGGGTCCACAGTGGGTTGGAAACTGGCTAAGGGGTTGAACCCAGAGAGTCTTGGTGGAAAGGTCTGTATCATCGTTGTGGGAGGTGACCAGTAGTGTCCTGCAGTTTGGTTCTTGGCCCTGTGCTGCTCAACATCTTTATCAATGATTTAGATGAGCGCGTAGAAAGCACGTTGGCCAAGTTTCTGGACGATACTAAGTTTTGCGGAAAAGAAGTCATGCTAGGGGATAGGGTGTGGATCCAAGCAGACCTGGACAAGCTGTAAAGGTGGGCAAAGTGGAACTGGATACAGTTCAATACATGCAGGGTGCTTCATTTGGGGAGAGGTAACCAGCAGCACGAAGATAGGTTAGAATGAGATGTCCTGGCCAGCACAATAGCTGAAAGGGACCTCGAGGTTATAGTTGGTTGCAGGATGAACATGAGCCACTAGTGTGACACTGTAATCAACAGAGCTAATAACATACTGGGATGTATTAGCCAATGCCAGTTCCTCTCTACTCTGCACTGGTGAGACCCCAGCTGGAGTAGTGTGTCCAGTTCTGGGCACTGCACTTCAAAAAAGATGTGGAGAATCTTGAAAGGATCCAGAGAAGGGCCACAAGAATGATTAAGGGCCTGGACGACAAACCTTGTGAGGAAAGACTAAGGGATCTGAGACTGTTCAGCCTGGGGAAGAGAAGACTGAGGGGGACACTTGGTGGCTGTCTACAAGTACATAAGGGGTAATTATTAGGAGCTGGGAGAAAAACTGTTTGCTAGGGTGCCCCAGGGGAGGGCAAGGAGCAATGGCCATAAACTGTTAGAGGATGGTTTCAGGTTGGATGTAAGGGTGACCAGAATCTTGAATAGACATCTCAAGGGGGTGGTGCAGTCCCCAACCTTGGCAGTCCTCAAAAGGAGACTGGACAGACACACTGCTGGGAGCATCTGATCGCAGCAGTATTCCTTCCCAGAGTAGGGGGGTTGGACTCAATGATCTTTCGAGGTCCCTTCCAGCCCTTAATTTCTATGATTTGTCAACAGAGTAGAAGGTCAGTGCGGAAATTCTATTTCTAAATTTATATTTTGACTATTTTGTTTGTTTTGGGGTCATTTTACAACAGAGAGAAAAAAATGCCTAATTGTACAAGTCAAGAAAACAGACGTTTAAAATCCATTTGATGGATATCCTTTATAAATTAAGCCATATTCAAACATGTATGTATGTATGTAGTACAGATCTGAGTTTTTGGGTCATAATCATGAAAAAAGATTTTTGCTTGCAGAGATCCATGTGGAACCTTATTATTGACTTCAGTGGACCTTCATGACCCGCTATATGATGCTGCCATATAGTTTCTTCTTGCAGTATCGTGATCTTAGATACCAACTATCTAAGTAGGTTTACCAGAGTAAAACTATATTGTTAACAAATGAAAGCCATAGCAAGAGTTTCCAATGGAAAAGCTGAGGCAAACTCTTATTTTTCAAATTATAAATTATGTACCATAATGACATAAATAAATAAAGCACTGGCAATTATTTTAAAATGGTTACCAGTAAAACTGCAGTTGTCAATTATATAGGTAATGGACTGTATCTCTCTAATCCAAAATAATCTATGAGCCTTGATCGATGATGAACTTCAAATAAATGTTCAGACTAAGAACAAATAAATAAAAAATCCATTATTTCAAATGGGCGCTGGATTTTAGAAAAAAAATTGAAACAAATTGGCTCCTGTCTAGTCTGTGTTTTTAACATGGAAAATGTATATAAAACATACATAGTGTAATGCTATGAACTGATGTCACTTTTACATATTATTTACCACCCAAGCAGCCCTCAGGCCTGGCCCTTCTAAACTCTGACAGAAGCCAATGGAAGTCCTCTGTGTAAAGCATGTAGGATAAGTCCCATAGGAATCATATGTTATTCCTTTGATAAGATTTGATTCCCTGATTGATTCTTTTGATTAGATATATTTACACAGTGGTATCAGATGCATTGCTTTAAGAATCTGTGGATAAATTAAATGCTTATGAACAGGAGGGACAGTTAACATTGGTCTGTATCATAGTATGGGCAGCCATGCTGTTCATACACTATCCATTCATGGCAGTAGGGACTTACAACGCTTTTAATCATGAATATTTCTGAGACACTGATGTAAAATGTACTAAGCTCTGAGATGGTTGTGAACACCCTGTGAATAAATTTACCATGCTCATTTTTCAGTTTTGGAATAAGTTAAGGTTTTAATTAACTTTAAAGCCTGGCTTCGATCTATAAACTTGCAACTTTGCACCTGCAGTCACTTGCATTTGTGGCCATACTTCTTAGCCACATCTCATTATGAAACACTGCATTCCTCAAAAAATCCAGAAGTGCCTAAATAGAAGCTATTGGGTACTGGTCTTTTGAAAATCTGGCCTATAACTTCTACTATGCCTATATGCAAAGTAGAATTATTACGTAGGATTAGGAGAACTGGTTAAAATTGAAGACAATGAAGAAATGTCCCTATGTCTCATCATATTCCCTGAAGTCATTTGAAGGCTGACTTCTTGCAAAAAAAAGTTGTTCTTTTTTTCCTCCCGTGTAGTAAGGCAGAAGAATCAGGTAAGCTCTGTCAAGTATATAAATAAAATAAATACCATAATAACAAAGATACTGTAAAAGTATTCTGTAAAATTATGAAATAATTATGCAATGTTATCACCGTTTCATAGAAGACATTTGTATTTATGCTTATTTTTGCTGCTTGACCTCCAAGTCTGTCTACAGTATGCTATGTAAACAAAGGAATAATTTCCCTTCTAAGA